AGTATATTGGGCCCATGTGTCATTTCACTCCAGTAATGTTTCCTCGCGCAAGAGTTCCTACTTAAAATTGTTGTACAAACAATACGATAAAGACTTTCCGTTTTCGACATTATGAAATTCATCCGGAGAAAGACCCTGAAACTGATTCTGACAAGATAATTTTAAAAATATATATTAAGAATAATTCATAGCGAAATGTATTTCCTATACACCTATAAAGAATTTTCATAAATACCGATTACACAAGAATATTACAGAAAAAAAAATAATTTGCTATATTCTCTATGTTTTTGCCTGAAAATGAGTGAAAAAGAAAATGAATGAAATTACATACTATGCAGTGTGTTCAACAACTCATGTACGAACAATAACGTTTTTAAATAAGATTTTACTTGGCAAAAATACTGTATTTTTCTGCATAAAAGAATTTAACAATGTCGAAAACGGAAAGTCTTTATCGTAGTGTTTACAGAATTTATTCATTGATAAATTGTTCGGTTTTCACAAACAAACTGTTTTACGTTTTGTTGAACACTTTCAGATCAAACTGCTGATGGTACGTGGTAAGGTAAGGTTTCGTGGCTCTCGTTCTCTACGAGATCTCGGTTTAACTTTTATAATTGAAGGAATATCTGCGCACGTTTTAAAAAGCGACGAATGTAGTGTCCTATTGTCTTTGTGAATTAATTTCTGGGAAGCAATAATTCGTATTTTTTCTCCAAAATAGATAGAGGGATAACCCAGTGCTCTGAATTCCTCAGTAAGTTTTAGCGGCTCGGAAAATGTAGGGCGCCCTCGTTTCTGAGGTGTCCACAGCTGACTATCGTTAACATCTGATCCGATGGTGAAATTGACCACTGTGAGTATCGTTCTAGTGAGCCACTGGGTGTTAGAGATATCAGCAATTTACTACCAATATGAACTTCAGGTGTAAACCTATACCTATGTGCTAGCCATGCAATTGAAAACATTGACACCCCCTGGGATGTGAGACTCAAGTATAGTGAGCTTGCAGAATGACAGACGATGTAATCAGGTCTGTGGTAAATTGGAAAAAAACCCGGGTACGATGTCATTGTTTTCAAAAGGAACAAATAAGGACTAGTTGGTTACCCTGACTTCATTCAAGTCATTCTGCAAGCACACATACCTCGGTCTGCTGGTAAGACTGGCTCATCATGGCGATGATCATATTGATTAGCACAATGATGGACGCCATATGCCAAGCTAGCAACAACACTTCTCCGATACGTTCAGTAAAGACGAGGTTCGACGACAGAATTATCGTTTCTTTTTTGACCAATCCAAAGACCGCCCAGAACAGTGTTACGCACGTGTCCGTCAAACTGTTGGTTAATTAAAGGTCTTTGCGTTACAACATGCCTGTCTATATGGTGTTGATATTTACAATCACAGATATTATAAATATATAAAGTCTGTGATTTAACATGTGAAAGGATATCTATTATTTCAGTTATACGTCCCAGACATATCACTATCCCGCTGTGGTTTAGATTGTATTTTGATGGGAACATTATAACCTAATGTTTTATATAATTAGAAATAACAGTATTCATTTAGTGATGTAAATGATGTGTGTTACCAACACAAAGTTTTTTACGATAAATTATGGCTCCGCGCCAAAGATTACAGAGATATAATACTAGTACTCAAAATGTCTACTTTTAAAACTCGGAACAGAACACAGAAAACAAGTCCTGAGTGATGTGGAGCGGGAGGGGGGGGGCAACAACAATACATTTTCGAAAACCAAAATAGGGCTAATGTGTCTGTGACGTGATAAAAGAGTAGATACCCTTGAATAAATGATGTCATGGAATTGTATCAGATGTAGTCAATCTTATTTTAAATGAAAAACTTTTAGAAGTTATAATAATATATGAATATTTATAGTAATAAAACATGCATCATATATCAAAATTAGAATATGTGATCAAAACATAGAAAACGGCATTCGGGTTCTTCTCGGCAAAGCTATTTCTTTGCTAATTCAATTTAGACATTTGGTAATCGGTTCTGTAACTATATTCGATGGTTATTTACCGTTTTACTACATCTGATACAGGCCTACAACATTCAACAATCCCCTACCTCGATTTCTTGATACGACTTGCTCATCATAGCAATTAACATATTCAAGAGCACAATAATTGCCACTACGTGATAGCAGGCGAACAGAATCTCGCCGACAAATTCTGTGTAGTTATGGCCTTGTGTCGGCAATTTAATTACGTCTGTTCCGACTAAGCCAAACAGGGCCCAGAACAAAGTCTGCATGGATCTGTCTAGACTGGAAGGCAAAATAATAGTTGCGTCAAATATGGAACATGTAAGTATGTGTCTATATTGCGAGCGAAACTTCCGGAAGTTATGCATTGTATACATGATCAAATAGTTGTAATATATGTTCCCAACTACAATTTTGGGGAAATCCGATCATAACAAACAAAACTAATATCAAAGAAAAATGGCTGATGAGCTTCCCTTCAATGAGCTGACAAGTACTGAAAATGAACATATTGATTGGCGCAGTGTGTAATCTAAACCGATGAAATCGACGTTGTCAACGTATGTTGCCTATATGATTATCTATGTCAACGAAACACAGCAGTGAACGGCGTACAGGCTAGGGGTTAAAACATTCTCTAATACGTTGCACTGTACTGACTTTTATAGTATAGACTTTTATAGCGCAGCCCCCTAGTTACTAGCAGAAATCAAGTATATACGACTGGAAACTTCCCATGTCAGGGTTTATTTTAACGTATCTTTCTCAAGTAAAGTTGTGTAGTCAACGTTGATTATATAGAAATTGACAAGGAGAATTGCTACATTTCTCAGTACATCCTGGAAGGTTTGCTCAAATTCAACGATACGATAGTACTAAACATTCTAAACGAAAGGCATTCTGGGTACGCGTTTGATGTTTCACTATCCCACATTGCTAGTCTGAGCAGCGTACATAAACATGGGGAAAGAATGTCTACGTATCTGGTCAGTACCTTAAGGCGAGTAAGGACATTATCGTTCACGCCACCAACGGCGAAATAAATATAAGCAAAAATAGCTCTTCACGCCATCAACGTCGGATACATGTATAGTGTGCGTTGAGAGAATAATAAATCATCCACGATTTGCAATCAGACGACATAAAAAGCACAGAAAAATATCTAGGATTTGAATCTTCCTACCTTAGAAATGCATCCGGATTGGAATTGGACGGACAATCGGCGTCTTGAGAATGCACGGGTGAAGAACTGCCGTAGTACCAATATAGTTGATTCAAGCCACATGCGAACGATAATAAAACCAAGAAAAATATAAACAAGAACTTGGCAATGTCAATAAGCATACATCCGAGTGATATCTGCAGAGGTCCTAAATACGGGTTGGCTTGAAACAAGTAAATAATTCGAAAGAAGCTAAATACATTGGCGACAGCGAACACTCCTTCTGATATGAGAGTCGGGTCATCGCCAGGCCAGGTAGCTCGCTGAACCTCTCCATCGGTAAAACTAGGGTAGGTGCCGGATTTTTTCAGCCACCAAGCCGTAAAGCGTAAAGATATTGTGCATAGATAAAGCGAGAGCATTATGAAATCCAACCAATTCCACCATTGTCTGATGTAGGCTTTTAATCCCTCTTCCCATAATTGTTTACATTCTCCCCATATAAAACCTGTGTGTACAACGAAACAAGTATATTTTAGTAAAATCAAACGCTGTAAGCTATGTGAACGCCATAAATGTACGCGTATAGTCATGGTCCTAGACTATTGTAAATTTTACCATTAGTAAATGTAAATAATAAAACAAATAAATAAAACACACATAGAGTTTCTAATGGTCCATCTCTGAAACTTTTACATTTTCCATATTACAAGTAAATCATACATCACTGCGATTACAGTCAGATAGACTTAAAGATGAGATTCGTGGCTTATTTTTGACTATTTTGTTTTGTTTTATGCAGATTTCACAACAATGATATAATACTTGACATGGAATGTTCTATAGAGGATACTTAGTTTACGCACGGTTACTAGTAACCGTGGTTTACGCGAGTGATAAGAAAGTTGTTCCACCATGTTTACTCAGATACTGCACCCAATGGTTTAAGTTAAATGTTGAAAGTTTGTTGCATCATTACACTAGGTTTATCTTCACTGAAATGAAATGTTGAATGTTCAAGATGTTTCTAAGCAACTACTGTATCTTTTTAATTTTAAACCATTGGCAAAGCCATAAGTAATTGTTACTACTTACCAAATACCCATAAGGCAATTAATACTTCTATAAAATTCGGCTCTCTACCACGCGGACTGTCAACCCAAGTGTCGGACGGGGACGCTGGTCGTGTGCCTTCAAACCTCACAGTCGACGCGAGAACCAACAATAGCAAGAAGAACCCGAAAGAAATGCTATGGTTCATGAATTTCATAAATGGCGTCCGGAGAAGCTGTCCGATTTTGGTATGAGGGAAAAGGAGATAGCATAGCGCCATCAACGGCAGTAATAGTATGACTGCTAAACAAATCAATAGCTTGACAAAGGCATTGTGTTTCCGCCAACCAGGTAAACCTTCGTACCATATCGAGGTTAGTAATTGCTGGGTGTGCGCATGAGCAACAAACTGAAAAACAAGGGGAAAAGATGGCGGATAGTTAGTATAGCAACGTAAATGACGTATAACAACACTGGTTATTGACGATCACTGTTTTTAAATTACATTTTTACATGCAACAATATGATTGCAGGACATCCCTTGTGTGTTTAAAACGTGTTCATGGAAATAAGCTGCAGACAAATAATGGTGAAGAGTGAATTACTAGTGGCGGGAAAAGAGACAGCAACGAACCGGTTGACATGTATAATCTCAGTAGGTCATATTACACTATTTTGTATCTGCTGCGAGAGTGTTCTGACGCGAGCCCGATTTCTACGAGAAATCTAACATGGATATTGTATTGAAATTAAACTAAATCGCATGCTATTACATAATTATACGCCATGTGACCGACCACTCACATTTTCGCCCAGTAATTGCCCTACAACGTTAATGAACTGGTGACCATTTTAAATATACCCCCGGGTATTACCCATGATGCTTACCCGTTTTTGTTCAAACTTCAATGCTAGTTTTAGTCTTATTAACGTGATTTTTCCACCCATGACATCCTCTTCCGCAAACCCATCTTCGGAGTCGTTGTCTCTGTTTAAAACGGCGATAACCTCCTCCGAGCTGCGACACTGTTCAAGTAAATCCACGGCATAGGTTTTAGACTGATGACTCAGTTGTTGGTACACGTCTTTAAACTCGTTTTCCCTCATAGCCAAATGTTCCAACTCCCAGCTCAATTTAAAAGCTGTCAATATGGGATCACTACTGGTGAGGGATATCCATGCTGGGCTGGCCAACGCCTTGTAGGTGTTGATTCGATGTAATGAATGGCGTAAACTGTCTTCATGCTGCTTCTCGGTGCAGTGTTCGCAGCCACACGTCACGTTATGCGGTGTTGAAATCGTAGCACCTCGCGTTAAAAGCAATTGTAAAATCTCAAATTGGTTACAATGTGCAGCTAATATAACCGGGGAAATATCCGGAGAATAATCGCTGCTTTCTTCTTGAGGATCTTTGGTCATTTTACTCCACTCTCCTCCAAGCATCTCTCTGCTTATACTGGGGTGGTTCACCATCATCTCCACCATCTTATAGACCCCTTCCCTGATAGCGTACAGAAGTGCGTCGCCGATTTTGACGTTCGGTTGAGCCAATAATAACTCGACAATTTCAATATTTTCATTGTCAACCGAAATCTGTAAAGCGCTTCGTCCCAATATATTTGTGACGTTTACATTCACCGGGTCTGGGTGTTTCAGGCATTTCTGTATCGTAGCGTTGTCTCCTTTCTCTGCAGCTTCCATAAACATCCTCTCTTTCGCGGTCAACCTATTCCCTTCACTAAAAAGCTGCAAGGGAATACTGCTGACGCCTGAAATAACGGACGCCGACCGTCTCTGTGTGAACGCCGCATTGAGAAGACCGGAGGCAACACCGCGGTTTTGATAATTGGCATTACGAGGAAACATCATCGGACTGTCTCCTCTCGTTGGTGGCGTCACCAGCTCTAAGGTCGACGAAGATAGCTCCATCATCGTTACCTTTACACGTATGTCAGTGGCTCATAGCCTAGAAGAGTAAAGAAAGTATATGTTTATTGAGATGCATTGAAAAGCAACAACCGACTCAAATATTTTCTGAGCGTACCTGACGAGCGTAGACTTAAATAGCTGGATTTATACAACCATGTAACATAGAGACGAACCATTGCGAAATTCTGCGGTAGAATGAGCGCCTTCAACGTATCGCTTTCAAAGACGCTGGTCGATAACAATAACAAATTCAATTCCAGCGGAACTGTCATTCAATATTTTCAGAACTGTTGTTTTAATTGAGAACAACTATCAGAGTGGCGTCACGCTGTGATGGGTGGCGATCGTCTCGCAAAATACAATGAATAATAATGTTGTAATGAAATCGCTATTTGATGCGACGTATTGTATCGC